CCTGCCCCAAAGCGCCTCCTTCTTGCCAGACAATTGTTTGTCTTGAAATGTTGCATTTACCCCAACTGCATGAGCTAAAACCTCAGCTGATGTAAAACAACCTAGCTCCAGTTTTGGACTTTTCCTCTCTATGTGTTGAACTTGATAGATGTTTTTAGTGAAAGATAATACTGAGTTTTACAAAAGTAACTAAAAGCTGTTATTTTCATTTTACAAGTGGCAAAACAGCCTTCTGAGGAGTTCATATGACCTGCCTAAGATCAGTCAGAAAATTAGTGTCAGGGCTGGTAAGAGAAATCTGATCTTCAAATATGCTGTTCTTTGCTCTAAACTACAGGCCTGCCTGCAGCCACTGAAATTGGCCATATGCTGAATAATATTTCAATGTACAAGTATATTTCACTGGTCTTTATAACCCAAGTCAATGTACGTGTCTTTCCATATGTATTTTTAAAAGCACGTCATTATTGGAGACTTTAACTAGGCATCATTAGCCAATTGTTATATTGTGAAAATGGAAACATCTCCCTAAACCATATGCTTAACACTAGAAATTAATGGATACCCAATACCTAAGACAAGATCGAAAAAGCATCCCGCAGTTTGACTGAGATAATATATCCAGTAAACTCTATTCTCTGCCATGGGGTATTAGTTAGATCTGCTCTCTGGAACTCAGGGTCCAAAGTGCATCCAGAAGACTGACTGGACTCTGAAATGCTTTACCTTTGGCATGCCTTGAGTAAGAACTAACAGGGACGTCCCAGTACTGAACCTGGCCATCCAAGAACTGGGATAGAGGTACAAGTCAAGGGGAGGTTGTTTTGCTTTGCCTTTCTGGACCTCATTCATTAATCCAAGATAATTCATTAATTTAAAAGAAGCAGGAAATAGCGCTTAAACAACAATGTCCATTGCATAACTTGCATTACCGTGAACATATGTCCGTGATCTGCTCCATCCAGTTCCTACGAACATACACTGTCTAATTCAGAAGATTTCTCTGGGATGATTATCATCTCATGAAACCTATGTTCTTAGGTGAACTGTGTGTTCTGCTAAACAAAGGAAAAGTTCTCACTAACATCTGCCTCCAAGTGAATTTTTAGGAGATTGCCACAAGGAGCATCGAAATTTAGCAGTGTCTAAATTCAGTTGAAATAGTCTAACCTGAAATGACCAAAGATAACGTGTTTATAGTCATAAGATAGATGGAAAAGTTTGGGCTGGCAGACTGTTCAAGAAGCAAGGTGCTCTAGCAATTCAAAGCATTAATTGCTTACCAAAGAATTAACACCTTCTGTCATTTGTCTGTTTCTCAATTACATGCACTGTGTATATGTGTGTGAGTTTACATATGTGCATGTATATATCCACATTTGTATGTATGCATGTGTGTATACCTAGACATACACAACTGGTTTATACTGCATAGTACTTAATGTATGAAGTGGGAACAGGAAAGCTGTTGGTGCAGAGGTAACTGATCTCGATTCTGTCATTTCTGGTGCACTTTCCATATTAATTCTTATACTCTCTAGATTTTTCCCGCAATTATAAGAAATCTACTGCATAGCAGAAGAATTTAGTATTTTTTCCTGAATCTTGACAGGGTAGTTAAGTCATGGTTTTTTCACTAGAGCTTGTATCTACCCTTTGTCTGCATGAGTTTACTATGAAAAAGTTTCTGATAAAACTCAGAACTAAATAACATGTTGTCCCAAATGTGTCCTGCTATTCTCAGTGTAATAGTGACAGATCAGTGCAATGTAGGCATACAGAATTAAAAAAAAAAAGTGTTTAAGGGAGACTTTTAAAACTGAATTGAAACTGTGTTGTTCCATAGTATATTACCCAAAGACCTTTACTAATGTTAGACTCATTCTCAGAAAGAAAATAAAATGTAATTAATACATTTTTTAAAAATTTTATAATAACCAAAAGTAATTTTTTCTGTGGACAAGGACACCTCAGTTTTGAAGCACGGTATTCACAGGAATATAGGTAACTTCTTTTTCTGTAAATGCCTTGCCAATTGCCTTAAAATGTTAAAACTCTCCTAAAAAGCTCTAACTGGTCTAGACACTGGGCAAAACCAGATTTTGCATTGGAAACTCCACATTTTGCAAAAGTAAGAAGACAGATATTTATTGATGGCTAGGTTTTAAATTTGTCATCTCTCTGAAGCTGCTCAGAGACTAAGTGTTAGATTAACGCCAATTTGTGATTGGTGCTCAGAGAGATGACAATTTACTGCAGGTAAGGGATTTGCTGTTACAAAGAACTGACCCAATTCTGCATGACAATTTTTACAATGAGAGAGAGAAAAATGTATATTTAAATTGTGAACTTCTTTGTGTTTTGTGAGTTCTGTGAGCTGGAGTCATGAAAGTCACTGGAGTAATGAAGTTCGTGCTACTCTTCATAGCACTAGGATTGGGCCCTAATATACTCAATATTTCCTATTTCACTGCAATTTTTTCTCACTTCGCTGTCCTGTTCTTGTCTAGCACAGGCTTGCAAATTTTATGACCTGTGTTATGGGCTCACTTGCTCACATATGTGAGTTTTGGGGAGCCTCATACAAAGGTGAACAGTGGGAAGTTGGGTTTGAATTTTTAAAAGGTATGGGGAAAGACTGAATCTTACTAAGCTAAAATGATCTTGAGCCATGGGGACTACACACTCAAATGCCATTGCCATGGTGGGTCACAGCTGAGCCTCTCTATCATAATAATACTTAGCAGCTACAAAACACTTGTCCTCCAAGTATTTTATAAGCACAATCTAACTGACATCTGTTTCCACCTCCTTCTGAGAAAAATCTGTTTTCATTTCCAGTGTGGGGAAACTGAGGTTAAAAACTCCCAAAACCCTCCTGCAAACTGGTAGCATGGTGGGAGCCAAATCTGGTGCTCAGCTTTCTGCCCAGGACATCACAACCCTGACATGAGGCACTGGGTCCAGCAAGCGTAAGTCTGAGACTTCAGTGACTTTTGGATGCTGAGATCCCTTAAGCTGGCTGAAGTCTAAATATATATTGGGTCCATACATGCTGTTTCTCCAAAATGCCTATGGCCATTCCTCTGGATTCCCATACCACCAGCTCAATTCCTTACAGGGATGGCTGTCTGTCCTTCCACAGCTGCCTTTGTAAGGTGTCTGAATGTCAAACTGTTATTATTTCAATACCTGACTGAGAGAGTAACAGAGACCTGGAGGTTTTTTAGGAGGGTGTATAATTAGCCGATCAGTATTATGTTACCCTGTTCATAACTTAATAACCATTTTAATACAGATGGCACACACAGGGATAATTTCCTAGGGTAGCCTAGCAGTATATTACAGAGACAGTGTGTCTGAGGGAATCTTTCTTAGCCAAGGTACATTCCACTAGCTAATTCTACCTGCTGTTTTCAAGATGATTTGGGATAATTCCATATCATTTGCAAAATATTAAAACCCATTTATATAGGATGCCAGATTTAGAAATACACAGTCTGAGTTATTAGACATATTTTGATAAATCTGCTATGAAAAGTGCAAGACAAAAAAATACCACTGTGTTTTCCTTGCTATTTATTTTTTGCTTCCCTTGCTATAAATACACCAGGTTTTGGTTTTTTTAATCTGGCTAAATTTGTTATATATCAAAGGGACCACTATACCAATTTGTACATTTTATCTACATAGACACTACAAACCCTGCATGCTTATTTACACATATCCTGTGTGTATTTATTTGACTGGGAAGAGCCATACATTTGGGATTGAATCCGAAATTTCATGTATTTTTACTCTGTTGGTGAGGTATTTCATGCCTATGTGCATACCTTTTGCAAATATCTTTGTGTTACTCTGTTTCCAGAGGTTGTATTTCTGTGGGCACACTCAGGGTATCTGTACATACATAACACTAAAACAGTGTAATTGCTTTTACTGTGTGCACAAGAGTGTTGTGTTGCTAAAGTGTAAAGATGTGATGTACGTTGTGTTTGAATGTACAGGCATGTGAACAGTCTGAGCACTTTGACGTCTGTCAGTACTGGATTACATCTATTCCCTTTTCTCCTGCATCGATCCTGGTTTTTTGCCTGTCATATGGTTGTTTCTGTCACCTCAAACCTGAGACCAAATCTGAGTCTCTCCAACAACAAAATCAACAAAATCTGCACCCTAGCAGCCGGGGGAGGAAATGGGGAAATGGGGAAGGCGGAGTGGGGGGAATGGTTCGCCTGTGAGAAATCGATTCTGCCGCTGCCCAGCCTTCTGCGAGGGCAGGGATCAGACCGAGTCGGGGCCACAGGGACCGCGGAGAGCAGCGCTCCCCAGCCGGGGAAAGAACCGCCCGGCAAATTTAGCCGTTCCCTCAGGCCACCGATGGGGAGTGAGCCGGAGGCGTGGGTTTCCAGGGAATCCTTCCTCCCGCGCTCAGCGGCTCGCGGCTGTGAGCCCGGCTTGGCAGAAAATGACGGCAGCCTTTCGGCTCAGAGCTCTAATACCCTGGCAAGGCTGGAGGTCATCTACACCCTGGTAGAGGTGTTGAAGGGACACGGCAAACCCCTGCTCCGCCGCCCATCACTTCTGCAGCCTGAGCAGCACCCAGACCTTGCGGCAGGGCCGGGCTGCTCGGCAGGAGCAGCGCTGCCGGGCCCCCGGCTGCCCCGGGCCGGGCGGCGGGCACAAGGAGCGGCCCCGCGGCAGCGAGCCCCGGGACACATCCGCGCACCCGCTGCTCGGGCAGCCGCTGCGGGATCGGGCAGCTGTTTTCGGTCCCGCTGCCCGGAACTGGGCTCGGAGGTCACGGCGGGGCCGGGGAGCGCCCGCTGGACCGGGCCGGGGACTGGCGGGCCATGCCCACGGATCCCACTGCGGGCAGGGGACTGGAGAAGGCTGGATCTACCCTGACCGAGGAAGGATTAGGCCATCCTCGCTGTTGGAAAGGGTTTTATGGGGCCGTAAAGATGCGACTGGGCCGCGAGCTGCGAGGTTGCTCTTACCTGTTTATGGAAGAGACGCTGGGGACCGTGTCGTTGTCGCAGATGCCCTCGGCCAATAGCCTGTCCCGGATTTCCCAGGCGAACATAGTCGGGTTTTGTCTCTTGTACTCGGCGATTTTATCCACTACTTTGGGGGTGGCCACTTTGGGTTTGGATCCTCCGATCACGCCGGGCTTGATGCTTCCCGTCTCGTAATACCTGCACAAAAGATGGTCAGTGACCTGCCGTGCCGGGAAGGGCTCCGCCGTCCTCGAGCACTCAGAGCCCCACTGGCCCTCGGAACGCCCCGCGGCCCTACCCCGTGCCCCACCTTGGCTTCGGCCCGCGGGTACGCGGCGTCGGGCCGGAGCCGCTCGGGCGCTGCATGTCGCCGCTCCGCGAGTCGCCAGGAGGCCTGACCTGGGGCTACGGCAATCCCTTCGCCTCTCTAGGGCTCTCTCTCCAGTTTTTTTGGTTTTTGTTTTCCGTTTTTTTGGTTTTTTTTTTTTTTTTTTTGTTTGTTTGTTTGTTTGGGGTTTTTTTGCTTGTGCGTGTGTGTGCGCTAGAAGTGAGGGGCGCTGCCTCCCCCTTCCCCGCTTTACGCGCACACACTTCTTTTAGGCCCTGGGGTCGGGAAATAAAACAGAAACGCTCTCCCCGATACAGCCGTCGGGAGGCGAAGCCCGCCGAAAGCGGGATAGGGCCGGGTGGCCGGGGAGGGGGCGTGGGGAACGGGCAGCGGCGGGCGCGCACTCCCCCGCCTGGATCTCCCAGCCGGCCGCTCCCGAACCGGGGCGCTGGCCGGGCTGCGGCTGCAGGAGAACGGTTTATCCCCTCCCCGGGGTCCCTCTAAAGCGGGTGCTCGTACAGGGCAGCTCCAGCCCACTCCCCACTGTCCATCAGCTCTGCTGTTGGCAGCGTTCGTGTCCCGGCCTTCTCCGGTCACGGCAGCGCGTACGGCATGCACCGGCGGCTGGGGCTCTGCCGCCTGCTCACAATGCTCCGCATCCGAGCGGCCGGGCTGGGGCCCTGGGTCTCCCCGAGTAGCCTCTAAGGACATTGCACACCTCATTTGGGGGTGATCGGTTACTGCGGGCCTTTATTTATTTATTTATTTGCCCTGTTGTTTGTTTATTTACCCGTGTATTTGGTAAGGCTGCTTACGGCTTGTTGTGAGTTAGGATTTTTTTGTTGTTTTTCTTGCTGGATTGGGGTTTTTTTGGTCGTTCTTTCGTTTTCTTTCTCCTGTTCCTTCTCTTTCCCGCCCTCCCACCCACTCTTCTGAAATTATTTTGGCTTCCCAGCAGTTTTCAAACACTACCGGTGAGGGACGGGGGGAGGCGGAGGAGAAACACGTCCTTGCCAGCTGGAGGTGGGGGCCCTGCTCAGCCGCGGGCTCCCACTGTGCGAAGGTGCCGGGGCCGCTCGGGGTCGCGGCGGGGAGAGCCCGGTGCCGCGGGAAGGGCGGAAGGTCATACTGGAGCGGGGAAGGGATACAACGCAGCAGTCTCAGGGGAGGGGAAGGAGCTGCCTCTTTCCTTACCTGCCCAAGATCTTGCTGACACAACCGTGGCTGACCCGCAGCTGCCTGGAAATGTCACAGGGTCGCACCCCCTGGTGAGCCAGTTCCACTATCCTTTGTCTCACCACGTCAGGTAGGGGCCTGCCGTTCACAAACACCCCCCCGAGCTGGTTCACACCCCCGTGCCCTGCTGGGGAAAGAGAAATAAAAAAAAAAAAACACAACAACCCACGCACACCAGAAACACACCGTTAGTCGTGGATTCTGTACCACTTGTACTGCAAAATCTCCAGTTATTACAGATGGATGGAGGTAATGGCGGGAGTGGGGAACAGGACGTGGGGAAGCGAGAGAAGATAAATAGGGAGAAAAAGAAGCAGCTAAAAGCAGGGAGAATGAGAAAATGAGAGAGAGAGAGAGAGAAAAGAAAGAAAGAAAGAAAGAAAGAAAGAAAGAAAGAAAGAAAGAAAGAAAGAAAGAAAGAAAGAAAGAAAGAAAGAAAGAAAGAAAAGAAAGAGAGAAAATATTAGATAGAAAGATGGAAATGAAAGAGAAGGCAGAATGAATTTTCCCGAGACGGAGGAAGATTGTTCTCCACCTTCCCGTCCGCCGCCCTCCCTCCCCGAGCCGCTCTCCCCCTGCGGTCCCGACCGGGATGCCGGAGCGGTGGATTCTCACGGCCATTGTGGTGGGCCGAACATGGAAACAGCGCCCGCGCCCGCTCCTCTCCCCAGAGATGCACTCCCAAACTCCGGAGCTCGACCTCTTAGAGGTTCAGGGCGGACTCTGCCGCAGTCCCCCTTCTCTTTACTCCTGGGCTTTTTCTCTCATTTTCTTTCCAGGATTTTCTATCACGTTGTCAATTACAGTTCCTCGCGAACTCCGCCCTCCCTCACCCCGCGGCATGTCCCCCATGCAAGCAATCCTATCCCGTTATTTTGGGATGCGAGTTGAAAGGACTCACAGAGAGAAAGAGAAGGGGAAAGAAATGGAGGGAGAGAGAGAGAAAGAAAATATTTTGAGTCCCGCAGTTGGTGTTCCTTTACAGGCGGACCCTCTCTCTCACTAGCTTTCGATCTTTACAGGAAAAAATTTCCAGGGGAAAAAAAATAAAACAGACTCGTACTGTTCAGGATTTTTCCCCCACCACACAAGTCTAATTCAGGGAGAATTTAAATTCTCCGTTTTCTTCTGTTCCCCCCTTTCAGGCAAAAACCTGCTCTCTCAGATAGGACTGCTAGGATCGCTTTTTTTCCCCCCGATCTGTCTTTCTCCATTTCTAGAAATAACTTGGGGGGGGACGGGGGGGAAAGTATGCACCTGCTAAGCGTGGCCACGAGAAACAGAGTGACTGGGATAAAGGGAAATATCTTCTTTGGGGACGCAACAAGACACTTGGTCGTGAATCGAACATCTACGTTAGAGCCGAGAGCAGTTCGCCGCTGCCAGGGCATGGGGAGATGCCCGCTCGCAGGCGGTACAGCTTCGCTGGCGATGCTACCTGGGTGTCTGTCTCTGGAATATTCAGCTGATATAGCTGTGGAGTGCACTCTGTATTAAAGCTTTCCTTTCACGCAACCCTAACCTCCTGTATTTTCCTCGCCAAGAGATCTTAGTTCGTTTTGCAGTTTGCTGAAAAATGATCTGTTTGTATTTTCGTTGAGGTTTTTTTCTCTCCTGCTTCTGACACTGACTTATTGGCTCTGAACTTAGTGGAAACTCTCATTGCCCTGCGATCGATCCAAGTCCTTTCGCACAAATAGAGTTTTTCCCATCTCCCCCACCCCTTCTGTAACACCTTCACACATCCCCTCCCAGCCCCATCGGCCGGGGCGCCTGCTGGCTTTCTCGTCGTTCCCCGCTGAACCGGGGTTATTTTTGTTTTCTTTTGTTAGTCTTTTTTAAAACATATTTTTGGGTTTCAGAAGGGACGGGGGATATTTATCTTCTTTCACTAAAACCCGCGGGTATATATTGTTGTGTTCTTCCTTCATTTGTTCAGAACCCCTTCTGCACATGTTGCCTCTAAAGTTACAAGATAGCAATTTCTTCGGCAACTCCATGATAAATAATTCAAAATACCTATTATAACTCGCATTACAAAGTATTAAAAGGCAACAGATGCAAAAAGATTAAAAATTAATAATTCAAATTATTGCAGTCCGGATATTTTTCACACGAGTTTGTTTTGTTCTGCCCCGTGGTTTTCTAAGATTCTTTCTATCAGAGCAGTCAGATATTTACGTGTATTTATCTGCATGTAAGTGCTGGCATCTGTATCTGCACAGACTCAGTCGTGCCGCTGTCGTACCGGTCGTGTGTTGCTGTCTGTCTGCCTGTGTGTCAGGAGCCTTTGCCAGCGTCTGTTTTAATTGCTTAATAATATCCAGTTCTGTAGCTCTAGAAATGCACTTTAGGAAACGAATCAAATGTTGCTGGGGTCTTTTTGTTTTGTTTAGGTTTGTTGTTTTTTTGGTTTTGTTTTTTTCACCTAATCGGAAGCCAAAAATTGGTCAGGAATCTCCCTGGAGTTTTTAAAAAATCAGCGGCAATGAAATGCCTCTTTCGTCTGCTGACATGTTTCAGATCGTACTGGAGCCGGAATTACTGACATCGCGTCTGGAAACAGATCGCACCGCTGAAACTAAAAATAATGTCTCATGTACGGACTGTTTGCTGTAAAAGCTCCTTGGAAATCAAATCTCACATTTTAAGCAATGTGTTCTGGAAAACAGTTATTAGGAAACAGAAAGGCATTTACCTACATTCGCGTTAGAGGATTTAATCGTGGGTTTGTATTTCTGCGCCTTCCTTCTCAAAGTAAAATTGGCATTTTTTTAAACTTCAAGCATTTCCATTTTCTGTCTTTTAGATTTGTGTTTTATGCAGCGAGCAGGGCGTGTCCTCAAAAGTTTCGGTGTCAAAAGTTACAAATTGCTCTTAATTATTCATTTCCTGACTCAACATACTCTCAATCTCGGTTTTCTATTTGTATTTTTTCTTCTTCAATTTAAATCTCGGAATTATTTTCTCTTCTGCGGTTTAATTAAAATCAATGGTAATTCCTTATTACAGTCCCTGGTAAAGAGGGTTTTTCGCGTTCCTTCATCCCCCTCTTAAGAAAGCCTTTTAAAATCGAAAATGTAGCACGAATGCCCTTTTCTCTGTGCCAGGAATGTATTTAAAATTCACACCGGGTATCTGGTAAATAAACCAGGAGGGATCGTGACTTCTTGGGAGCCTCCAAAGCCACTTCATCTCCCAGCCGTACAATTGTCCTATTTTTCCCGCAGTCCAACCTTTCGCCAAACCAAAACGACTCACAGAACATCCACTGACTAACCCACCATTAATCCGAAACTGGCGTCTTTCCTCCCTACCACCGAAATCCGAAATCAAGGCAAACAGCATCGGATCTCGGGGAAATCTGGGGGGTTAAAGCCGCGGAGGGTTGCAGGGTGTCCCGGCCCGGCTGGGCACGGACAGGGAAAGGGCCCGTCCCGGGGGCTCACACGAGTCAGAATAAACTCTTGTTGTCTGAGGGGCGATGGGGAAAGTGTATTTGCGGAGGATAGCTCTGGCTCGGAGGGGGCTTTCTTTCGCGCACTCGGGGCTCGTAGCACAGGCACTCAGTGCCCTGCCCTCGGACTGGGGGTTCTGGTCCACGCCCCACTGCCGGCACGGAGGAGCAGAGCTCCCCTCAGCTCCGGGGCTGCCCGGCATCCTTGCTCTGCTGCTCGGGCCGGCAGTATCCGTCCTGCCTTCTGAACGCCTCTCTAAGCCCGGTATCGGCCAGGGTGAAAAGGTGGACCTGGAGGAGGATCAGGTGAGGAAGGATGGTTGGGGAAGGAAGAATGAAGGGATGAGAAAGGGACAGCAGAGGAAGGAGCCGGGCTCCAGTACTCACGGTGCATTGCTGAGAAGGGGTCTGCTTTGCAGTGCATATCCATGGGGAGGCAAAGGAAGGGGAAGAAATCGGCTGAAGCCGCCGTGTCGCCTCTAAAACTCAACTTCAAGACTTAGGGGAGAAAAAAATTAAAAAAAAAAAAAAAAAAAAAGGAAAACAAAACAAAAAAGCACACGAGGAGAGGAGAGGAGGAGTAGAGCGGCGGGATGCGCTGGGCCCCCGGCCCGGCGGAGCGGGCAGCGAAGTACTTTCCGAGGGGCGGGAGGGCTGCGCCGGCCTTGGGGGAGTCAGCAGAGTCCGTGGGAGCGAGGGACTGGCGGCGCCGGGGGGCAGGTGGGTGTCATGGCTGGGAGGGCTCAGAGCATCCCCGGCGGCGGGGAGGGGGTGCCGGAGCAAGGTGCGGCCGGCGGCCAGGCGGCAGAAGGCGCAGGAGGACGCGGCTGTCCCTCCTCCTCCTCCCGCGGTCCGGGGCTAGTTCATTTAAGTTCAAAGCAGAGTAGCAATCCCCGGGAAATCGGCGAGCGGCGGGCGGGCGCGACCCCTCCTCTCGGCCGGGCGGCGGATCCGGCGCCCGGCGGACTTTCGCCCGAGGTGGGAAGTGCTTGCGTGAAGCCGGGGCCGGAGACTGGAGCCTCCGCTCCCGGTGTGTGTCTCTCTAAAAGCCGCAGCGCCCTCAGCCCCCCGCCCGCCTCCCCGGAGATGGATGACTTGTCAGACAAAGGCAATAGATTCCGACACTCTCTGATTCGCCAGCGCGCCGAGCCGAGCGCGGCCAGGAGAGGAGAGGGGAGAGGAGAGCAGAGAGAGGAGGGCCGGGCCGGCAGCGCTCGGCGCGGGGGGGGCGCTGCCTGCGGGACCCGGCGGCGGGGGAGCCCCGGCCCCGCGCTCCCGAGCGCCCCGGGCCCTGCGTGTGCGGGGCGGCGGCGCCCCTGCCCGGCCCGCGGGAACCGACCTGAGCCCCGCTTTGTTGTCACTTGCGGCTCAGGATCCTTAACTCCCTTATTTAACACAAGCACACACGCCTTCCTAGTTTCACCTCCCTTCTCACGCTCCGCTTTTTTTCTACCGGAGAATTTACTCGGGGTAAAGCGGGACAGGAGGGGGATTCGATACACATCAAGGCTTCCGTGGTGTGCGGCTTAGTGTGGGAAAAAGAAAGAAAGGAAGTGAAGGAGAGAGAAGGAAAAGAAAAAGGAGAGAGACAGCCAGAGGAGAGAGAGATCAAGAGAGGAATGTATAGAGAAGGAAAAGAAAGAAAAATAAATAGACGCCAGACAGACAGAAAAGAAAGAAAAAGCGAGACAGAGAGAGGACGAAAGAGCAAGCAAGCTTCTTGCACCTCTTTAAACCAAGAGATTAGGCCCATTTCAGTCATTGCAAAGTTTTCCCTCACATGCATTTGGGGAAATAACAGCAAATCCAACCTCACACTTTCCACATCTCCACATCTCTGCTCTGCTGCTTCTCTCTCTCTCTCTTTTTTTTTTTTTTTTTTTTTTTTTTTTTTTTTTTTTTTTTTTTTTTTTTAATGCTGGGGTGGGATTTTGAAATTATTTTATTAATAAGTCCGCTGCTAAAATAGACATGGCTTTGACCTAGCAGAGCAATATAGAGCAAGTAAGAAACACGTTCTTAGGGTAATAACCAGAGGCAAAAAGGCAAGACAGGAATTGCTGTGAGCTCAATTTTGATTTTCATACTTGAGAGTTTACCATCACCTGAAATGTACTTCCTTCTCTTTTCTTCCTTCATCCTTCCCCAACTCTCTGCTTATCTGTCACAAAGCAGCCCCCCTCCCTTTTTTTTCTAACCGCTTTAAGTAAAGAATGTCTGAGAGATCTTTATGAAATATTTTCCACTGTCTCATAAATCATTTTGGCACTTCAGCTGATGTTTTATCTTTCTCTCTCCTCTCTCTCTTTCCCTTGTGTGCAAAAAAAAAGGATGATTTGGAAAATAAAATTTTTGTTACACCACCGGGATTACATGGAAGTGAGTCCTCGGTGACTGCGGGGCTGCGCTGCGGACAGGCGCGGCGGGCACGGCTGAGCCGGCCCTGCCCGCCCCTGGCAGCAGCTCCTGCACAGGGTGAATCTTCCCCGGGATTGGGGGGCTCTGCGCTGCCCGCTCAGGATCTGATCTTGGCCAAGGGAAGGGCACGGCTCCGTCTCTCCCGGGGAGCTCCCGCCGCACGCCAAGCTGAGGGCGGCCACTGCTTCCCGCGGGCTGCCCCGCTGCCCGGCCAGGCTGCCCTGCTCACCGGGAACGCGCCGTGGCTCTGACCCGCCGGCCGCAGCTCGCCCACCCGCCCGGTCCCCCAGCAGCGCTCCCGGCCCGAGCCCGGCCCGAGCCCGGCCCGGCCGCGGCGGGACCGCCCCGCGCGCGGCTGAGGGGCGGCGGGCCCAGGTGCGGAGCGGTGCCGCTCCCCGCCGCGGCCTCTAGATGGAGCCCTCCGGTCGCTTGGCAGAGCGGGGAAAGGTCGGCGGCGGGCCCGGGCGGCCGCGATCCTGCCGGGATACCCGGCCCGGCCCGACCCGGCACGGCACGGCCCGCGCATCTGTCGGTGGGACACCAGTGGCTGTCGAGTCGCCCCAGCAGCAGAGTCTCCCGCTGGCGGCGGGGCCGGGAGCCCGCTTATCGCCGCTGCCGGGAACACCTCCCGCACTGCCCGTGGCTGCAAACGGCCCTGTTACAACTCTCCGTCACCGACAGGTCTAGGGTGCTTCTTGTCTTCCAGCACTCACCCCTGCCCTTCCTCCCTCCCGCCTCAGGTAGCCCCGACTGCCCCGCGCTCTTGGGGCCGTGCTCAGGCTCAGGGCCGAGCCCGAAGGCAGAGCGAGAGGTGCGGGAGGGAGCCCCCGGCAGTGCCGGGTGGAAGGGAACGCCTTGCGCCTGCACTAACACTTGGTGAGTTCATGGACCCTCTCTCAGAGACTCTCTGAGCCTTCGTAACTGACGATTGTATGGTGTGGAGATCACAGCTTGGTGGTGGGCTGGGGCAGCCGGCGAATCCCAAACCTCCTCCCGATAATGTATTTTGCCTTAGTTTCCTCACTGTTTTCCCTTATCACTGAGGAGAAAGACAGGAACAGCAGGCTCGAGAAATACACAAAATGGGCACTCTGCAAAACGAAGCCTGAATACCACGGCACGGAGGTAACCCGAATAAACCGGGGAGCCCTGAGCCTGGTAGAACAAGGCAGCTTTCTAAGGAGAGGGAAGGGAAGGGAAGGGAAGGGAAGGGAAGGGAAGGGAAGGGAAGGGAAGACTCTGCTTGCTGTCCCCTTCCCCCACCACACGTACCACAATATCACCTGGTGCCCCTTCCCATATCAGACTTCCTGGAAGTATTGCTTTGTCAACATTTAAATCCACTGAACGATTTCTGCCAACCCAAATTAAAAATACGGCTCTGTCCGCGCGCCCCTGGTCACTGCCGTGTGCCCTGAGGGACCGGGCAAGGCAAGACCACGGGCCTCTTTCCACTCCCATATTCGCATCTATTCCACTTCACGAGCCCTGTGTGCTTATTTCCCTCTCTCACTTTAGATTAATCTTTGCTTTGCTTTGCTTTCCTTTTCCTTTTTTCTCTCCTGCTTTTATTTCTTTTTCTCAAAGAGAATCTGAGGATCTCCCCCTTCTTCTCTAACCCAGCCTTCTCCCCCCCTCCGCTTTCCCCCAAGCTAGAAACATTTACACTTCAAAAGAGGCAGCCGCCTCTCTGCGGAAATTTCAAGAAAAATAAACTTTTTGGGGGAGTTGCAATGATAGCAATCTTTCGATCTGCTTCATTAGCCGGCTTTCTCCAGCTGATCAAGACGAAATCTTCTTCATTGATCCTGTTTCCCACCCTTGGTTCCAATACACATAAGCTCGAGGGCCCTGTCAGCTTCCCTTCCAAGTCCTTTGAGTTCTCCCGTGCTGCCTTGGCTTTCCTGACTCGCCTTGTCCCTGGGAACCAGTTCTACAGACACTGCTGTCGGAAACTGCTCGCCCTGCTCCTCTGCCCGCTCGGGAAGGGCACTGTGCCCAGGAACAATGGGGGTCGGGCGGCGGGGGAGCCCCTCGGGGGGCTCAGGCCTGGACCAAGTGGATGTGCCTGTGATCGCAGTTGGCTCCAGAGCCAGAACTTGCGCTCACGTCGGTTCCCTGTTTTCTACGGGTTATCTGTAGCCAATTACCCTAGAAAACAGCTAAATGCAACCTATGGCCTTAGGTGCAGGATGGTGTGCTGCAAAGGTAGAAGTTTTGGATTTGTACACCATGGAGATGCCGCTAAGTTCTCGGCTCCACACCCTGTCTTCCCCTTGTCAAGAGCACAAATGCTTACAGCCTAAATGTTGGTAGTTTGGAGGTGGTTTAACTCAACCCTGAATATTCTCAGCACCATATTTATGAATTCACAGAATAAATCTACACTGACCTTCTAGGTGTATTTTTCTGACGCAGTTTCTGCATCAGCTAATTTAACTTTCACCGTGACAAAGTCGGTAGTGAAGTCTCTGTCTGTGAAAAGATAGACAAAAAAATGATACTTCCCCCCCCACCCCCCAAAAAAAGACGTGAGCATTTAAGGAAAGGAGTCGTTTTGATAAAACATTCCTGGACTACTTTTGGGGTGCTTTGTCTGAGGACAGGATGATTTCTGGCCCGAGATTTCTCACTGCCTCTNCACCGTGACAAAGTCGGTAGTGAAGTCTCTGTCTGTGAAAAGATAGACAAAAAAATGATACTTCCCCCCCCACCCCCCAAAAAAAGACGTGAGCACTTCAAGGAAGGGGACGTTTTGATAAAACATTCCTGGACTACTTTTGGGGTGCTTTGTCTGAGGACAGGATGATTTCTGGCCCGAGATTTCTCACTGCCTCTCGCCAACAAGCACCCAAATAAAAGGGGTATCCACATCTTCGCTGTAGGGGTGCTGTGGTCTGATCATACCAGAGGGGAGCGGGTGATGGGGCAGGGCGGAGGTGCCGAGCAGTAGCGTGGAGACATGGAAACAGGACCGAAGCTGTGGGAGATTTCCGAGGGGTGCATAGGGCGGGCAGGGCCGCGCAGGGCAGGGGGAGGCAGCCAGCGTCCAGCTGGTCCTCCCCGTCCCCCCAGCCGCTCTGCCTAGAAGAACGGAGCTTGCTCTTGGTGGCCAAGTTTAACAAATAAACATAAAGTTAGGT